TTATACCAGCAAATAAAGCGCTTTGACCCAGTTCGCTGTGATTCAAAACGGAAGCTTAAACCAAATTTCAATACGCTGCGAAATTCAAAAGTGTATTGACTCGAATCGGTTTTCAAATCGCTTTTTTATTTCTCACATCGGTTAGAAAACAGGTATAAACACATCACTCATTTGACGCGAAGTGAAAAAAGGCTGATTTTCTTTATACATCACCTTTTAAATTTGAATTATTATTGTAACAAATTTGAGTTCTTGTTCGCTTCCATTTCGGTCCACCGCGCAAATTAATTATTTAAGAAATATTGAATAAAAATAACAATTTTGTTTAGTTTTGAATACGGTTTCAGCGAGTGCGCTATAACCATACAGGTATAAATGCTGGAAAGAAATATGTGTTGAGTCAAATCATCTTTTTGTTAATGCGGTTCTTGAGTAGGTATAAACAAGGTAATAGTTTTTCATATACTTTTACACAGTGTAAGAAAAAAATTACGTAGAGTATTACAATGGCGGACGCCCGGCGTCGGATTGGGTGTTTAACATGAGTGAGGTCTGAATCCGGGCTAACCTCAAATAAGTTTGAGGCTGGCAGGAATCAAGAGAAAGCACCTTACAATAGAGAAAGACAAAACAAGGACAAGACGGACAAAAACCCAGACTCTGAGACTGAGGACGAAAACATTAAACTTAGTTCCGACAATTTTAGCAAAAAATCTAAAAAAGATACAGGTAACGGAATACCACTACCACCTTTACAAGGTATGTAAGTTCCAAAAGCACGTTTTTCAAAGTAACGAGTTATGGTTTAAGTGAAAACATCAAAGGTGAAGTAGGAAAAGGGCAAGTGAAGGTGGCAGCTAAAGCTACAAATGGCGCGCAAGTAGCAACTACGGTTACCAACAGCAATCCTAACAACCAAAGTGCAAGTGAAAAGTACGGAAAATCCTAATAGTCCTGCTGTGCAATAAGGCTGAAAAATGGTATATTCCTTTGAGAAAAATTGGTAATTTTAAAATTGAAGGCATTAAAAATATCAAAACTATAGGATAGATCTCTATATAAAGTTTGTTTTTACAAGCTTTTTTTTAGTCATATACTCTGGCAAATAAGTGCCTTGAAAAACAAGAGTTAACAAAAAAATCAAATGAAACCTTTTATTCCTAGGAGTTTTGTAGAAACGAAGGGAGTTTGCTCGCCAAATCCCCACGTCCTTTTCGGAGGAAGAGATATTAAATCGGAAACAAAAGTAACATCCGTAACAAGAATAACTAGACGAGACCAGGATAACAGGGACAAATTTATACCAACGGTAACAGTGAAGAAAGGTTTTCAAGGCAATGATTTGCCAGAAACGCTGGATCTTATTTACGTAAAACTAAAAATTACTCATTATATACCAAGAGCCTGGCGGTGTTTCAACTGTGGAAGGCTGGGTCACACCAAGCTGGGTTGCAGAGCCAAGAATAGGTGCGTGTTATGTGGTATGGAGGATGGCTGCAGTAGCAAGCCAACAACTGTATTTTATGTGGTGAAGAAAGGCATAACTCGTTTAACCCTAGAACACACACCCAGAAAATACCACGTAAACACACACCCGGGATACGTTTGTACCCGGGACCTTATTTTGCGGTTTTTTTAATGCTTATTCAACCGATTTCTATGATTTTTTTTTTTGAAATGTATATTTTAATATATAACAAGTATTTTGTCTTTTGTTTCATTCGAATATTCCTACTGGTTCCAGCGATATGGGCAAATAAAGTCAGGACATGCAACAGTGGATTTTTGTTTTTGTTGTTGTCCTGATAAATGCAAAACAAAATAATATAATTTATAATAATATACTTGTAGAGTAACAACGAATACACATTTTGGTTTTTATTTCATTGAAATATTCTACCTGGTTCAAAAGATATGTGCAAAAAGGTCGCGCAAGGTATGGGTACGTAGGTAGCAAATACACTGGTATAACTGGTTTTTGTATTTTATATGCAGCTGCAAGGGTTGTTTTCACACGAGGTGTTGTTATAAATGCTGCCTATTGATATTTTCATTATTGTTTTGGTGCTCAAAAGTGTAAGAAGTGAAAATATAAGTGAAAATAAATATAACTGAAACTATAAATAACTGGATACGAAATGACTTCAAGTAGAAACGAATATTTATCAAGTGCAGCATATAGAAGGTAAAAAATGTAAAATAAGCAACAATATAAACATATACAAATTTTTTTATTATGCAGGCTAACTGAGGAACAGCGAGAATCATATATACAATCTTTATTTGATGAAATTTGTGACGATGACGCTCCCTATGACTTTGACTCAGAAGATGAAGAAGAAATTCAAAAGTGAAAAAAAAAAGTGGTGAAGGATTTGTCTGCCAAATACCAAGGAAGTGGCCGAAACATTACAATGGACAATTTGTTTACGACCTTGCCAGTTGCAGAACTGCTTCTCACCTGGAAACTCACGATCGTTGGAACTTTGCGCAAAAACAAATCATATATTCCTCAAGAAATGAAGCAGAACAAAAACAGGACAATTGGTTCAACGACATTTGGCTTCAAAAATAATGTGACAATGTGCTCTTATGTTCCCAAAAAAAATAAAGCAGTAATTTTGCTTTCGACCATGCATAATGATGCTGAAATAGCTGACAGTGGGAAACCTGAAATAATTGAATATTATAATCGTACCAAAGGTGGTGTTGATCGAATGGACCAAATGTTTGCGGAATATCCAACACAAAGACAAACAAAACGATGGCCACTAGCGATGTTCTTCAACATGTTGGACATTACAGCTCTTGCAGCCTACATTGTCTACGATTTGAATAACCCTATGTTGCCTTGGAGAACAAACAACAAGCGTAAGCAGATCCTGCGCAGCTTGGCTGAAGCATTGTGTATGCCCATTATTGAAGCCAGAGCCATAAATCGTCAAGTGACGCGAAATTTTTCGACTAAAATTGCTATTGAAGCATATTTCAACCGACCGGTGAAATCAATGGTGTCAACAGCAGCATCAACATCTGCCGCAGCGCGCACGCCAAAACCTGTGTCCGGATCTTGCTATTTATGTTACGCACAAGAGGAAAAACGCCGTAGAAAAACCAGAAAGCTGTGCGACAAATGTAAGAAGCCAATGTGTCTTGAACATTCGGTCACATCAACAAATTGCTCTATTTGCCATGATTTTCCTTAGATACAAGATGCATTTTTATAATTTTTATAATAAAAGTCAATAATATAATGTGTGAAATGAATATTTTTAATTTTTCAAATAAAAAAATAATATAAAAAATGTTTCTTTTTTATCATTATGAGGATTTTTACTATTGGGGTACAAACGTATCCCGGGTGTGTGTTTACGTATATAATGTGTTTGGAAGGCTGTAGCTCCTGAACCAATGGTCCGATCTGGTTCAAATTTTGAATTTGAACTCAAAACTAAATAATCTTCCTAGATCCGGAGGTATAGCGGTTCAAAAGTTACAACACTTCAAAGTTGAAAGTGGATACATTTGTAACCGGGTGTGTGTTCTAGGGTTAACAAAGCGTGCAAAGGATGACACAAGGAAGAGACAATTTTAGAAGTTATGACAGTTAAAAATATCGAAAGAGAGGCTCTGGATGTTTATAATTTCAATCTGAAACAACCTGTTTTCAATTTTGGAAAACTATGAAGAAGCCTTCCCGCCGATAAAGCCAAACATTACGGGTACTAAAGACAAAGATCGCTTTATAAACCGTAAATTGACCACAATAAAATACAGTTACATACGTTGAAAGGAAGCCCACAAATGACACAGCCACAAAAACAGGCAAACCCAAAATCCAAAAGCAAAAAAAACGGAAACGCAGCCGGTGTATCAGTGCCCTAAATAAAGCAAAGCTACAGAAATTGAAAAGTACCCGTCCGATTATTAATAAAGAAATTTGAAATAGACAGAAAAGAGCCCCTAGTAAAATGTTTAGAAAATATATGTAAAGTGAATATTGATGACAGAGTCATTGTCAACACAAATGATGAGTATAAAAATCTTACAATAGTTGCGTTCCAGATGCTTCACGATTTGCAGGTTTTTACAGGAAGTCGTTCCAGGTGACCACCTCCCATAAGGTTTATTAATGGGGAAAACAGCAGTTCCTGCAAATCGTGAATTTCGTGAATATCGTGAAGCATCTGGAACGCAACTAATATAATATTCAAAGCCTAAAAATCAACAAGAGTTACGTAGATTTTTTTAATAATTAGAATCATGTAGATTTTCTGCATTCAGGAGACTTGTTCACATGACGACCAAGTTAGTAACCATAAACTCTTAAACTTCAACATGCTAAAGAAAACCAGAGCGGACTGGTACGGAGGGGTAGTCATAGGTTTCAATAAAGGAATACGATATAGCAAAAACGAATACAACACGAGACAAGACATTATTATAGCAAAAACTACTAGTCTGGATATTACACTTACTATTTGCAACGTGTACTTTCCACCTAATACGTATATCCACAAGTTTTTTAAAAAGGAATAAATTGATTATGATTTTTTTTAAGCAATCCCCAAAATGTCATCCTTGTGGCAGATTTTTTCAAACCAAAAGCGTGATAGAGTGAGAAGTTATACAAAACTAACAAGCCACAACTAACGAAAAAGAAAAAGCAAACGCTCCAATTCAGAAGAAGACTTTGAAAATACTGCAAGAACAAATATTACAAGGAGAGGACTGAGGAGTACGAAAAGTCTCTGAGCCAACTTTAGAAGGCTCTTGACAGATACGTCCATTTCACTGGTTGCACTAAATATGCAAATTCCATAATTACAACACTTATAAAAAGTAACGCAGCAATTCAAGAAAATAAATAGAAGTTACAACTTTCATAAAACCTAAGTTAACTTTTAAAGTTCTTTCGTTTTGGATCGCTAAGCGCTTGCCTTTACATCTCCATTATACAGAGTTTGACGGTTCACATATTAATCGTTGATTTGTTGTAGTTTTATAAGAATAAGAATTTAATTAGATTGCTTGTTTTATGGAGCACCATATTGTTGTAGACTGGACATTGCAGTTGAGATATAAATAAAATTGGTACGGTGCACAAAAATATGAATACAAATTTCGTTGTGTTTTTGTCGGTGCATTTTGGTTTGGTTTCTTGTTGCTCCATCGATTGATTTTCTATTGATCTGATACATATACATATATTGGTTTGCTAATTTATGGGTCGATTATCGATAGCAACCGAACTTCGGGCTTGTTCGAGGTGCAATCACAGCCGCAGTGTTGCGCGAATTATTAAAGTATCACATTCTGTGTGAATTTCTAGCAACGTATTATCAGTTGGGCAGTTGCAACAGTGTTGCAAATTTTCATCAGTACGACAGTAATGCCGCGTTTATTACGTGCCTCGAACAGGCCCTTCACTTGCGTTGCCAGTTGCCGAAACGATATTACAGATGGCAACTGGCAACTCTCAACTGGCAACTGCAGTTGCTACAAAGTGTGTATACAGACTACACTTTTGTTATTACTGTGAAAATTTAAAAGTATACTTTGAATTTGAACACAAAAAGATAATAAAAGAAAAATCTTGAAAGCATTAACTTTTGCTTACAGTGCAGGCGCTAACTGGCGGTAGTTGGAATTATCCTTTAAATGCCGCCTGATTGAGGCCGCGTTCATGCACTTCTCTCCCTTTTAAACAAATAGTTGTACTGAACTTAGCATTATTGCTGACTTTTTTAAACTCTTTATTTTAATAATTTAATTTTACTAGCACAGCTTGCTTTATCGATAACTCTACAGAACCTGACGATAGCTGCATTACTATCCGTAATCGACCCATTAATCGTTTATATTTTTTACTCTGCTAATATATGTATGATTTTAAACATTACTACTTCCAAACTGCAACATTTGTGCATATTTTCTGCTTTCCTTAAATTAGTTCGCAATGGATTATGTGCTTTAAATGAGTGCAGAATGCTGATTATCACTATTTGATTAAGATAGCAAGTGTGGACTATAATTGTGCTTTGAAATATTTAATTACTTTTCAATAGCTGTGCAATGTTGTTTGCCGCTTTTTTCATCTTATTAAATGATATACTCCAGGCTTGAATATATTGTTGTAATCCTTGTTTTTTTCTGGCTTTTGCAGGTTTCCTCTCAAATTCTTTGCTAACGTTTAATTGAGTATTCCATCAGGATATGTGGGATATTGATGTGTAGTTATTTCGCACATTTTACGCTTGCACAGGTCGTCTTCCACGCGGTTTTATGCTTTCTGATATTTGCCACATCTCTTCCTCTCCCAATTCATACTCAAAGTTATCAAAGAACCGTATAATGCGTTCGTTCCGCTTAAAATTGTACTCACTGGGAATGAGAAAGGTTTTATTAATGAATCAAATTGGGCTTGTTGGCTAAAGAAATGTAAATTTTCGTTACAAACCATTTTTTGAAACGTTTCATATTCTCTATAAGATTGTATTGCTGCCAACGTTTTGAAAAGTTAACTACACCTTCTTTTAAATAGTCTGGGTTTCCAACGTGAACAAACGTTAAGTCCTGCAGCACCAGTCCACTGAAATTATATTATTTGAATTATACAGTAAAACTCATACTATATGTAACTGTTTTTAATGCAAATTAAGTTATTATATTTTTTTAAATATTGATTCTAGCCTAGGATCTACATACAACGTTTGATGATTCTCAAAGAATATTACTTATACACATAGCTTACTTTTTATTCTTGGCTTTATTCAATACAATTTCAGGTGAGGCACTCTTCAATTGTAATTTCTTTACCCTTATGAACCGACCTGGCAGCCAAGGACGGACAACGAGAACAAGAACGTCCACGAACACAATGGAGGGACCAAGTCTGCACACGGAATGAACAACAGCGCCACTTCGTCAAGGAGAGAGTTTTTTGTCTCGGCCCACACAGACTAACGTCAGGCCTTCGGAGCAAAGGTTTTTTCATCGCTCCGCAATAGCTCCGCTCCGGTATTTTATTTGGCTCCGAGCTGTATTTATTTACGGACATATCGAGCCTTAACCGCCAACAAACGTAGACGACATTTTTTGAAATTTTATTTTTAAGCAGAAATGCAGGAAAAAAGTCGCTTACGTTTTCTTTTTGCGGTCAGAGCTCGATAAGTTTATTTATTTATATTTAATTATTGTTGCTTTTCCACAATAAGTTTTTCATTAAAAACGGCCTCAAGCTCAATAAAACTTGTTGAATATATTTAATAAATTTCATTTAAAATAAGGTCCGACCCAGGATTCAATAATAAAAGGTTTGCTCATTATTGACATTAGAGTTTTGACACTCCCTTAACTCCCTTACAAAAGCTTTGCACACACACACGAACCCACACACAGTGCCTTGCTAAGGGAACCGATTTTGTCAAGAGGGAGCGAGAAAACTGTTTTCTGAGCAAACCTTTTATTATTGAATCATGGGTCCGACCTACATATGTATATCAAAAACCACATATCGATGGCTACTACTTCAGAATTTGATTGAAAAACGCCTTATTTCAGAATTTTATTGTAAAACACCCTATCTCAAAATTTAGTTGAAGAACGCGCTATCTCGGAATTCGGTTCAAAAACGCCCTATCTCAAACAAAAATACATTGAAAATAAGCTGAGATATGGCGATTTTGAATCGGCAGCTGAGATAGGGCGTTCTTCAACTAAATTCCGAGATAGAGCGTTTTTCAATCAAATTCTGAAGTAGGGCGTTCTTGAAAAGTTTTCTGAGATAGAGCGTTGTTCAAAAATTTTCTGAGATAGGGCGTTTTTGTTGTTGTTGTTGTAGCAGCATACAAATTCCCCAAAGACTTTTTGGGGAGTGTTGCTGGAGTGACAGTCCTTGGCCAGATATAAATCTGGGTCGTTCCGGTTACGTAGACCCGACTGTCGTGGGCGTTTTCGAACTGGCTGCCGAGAGAGGTCGATCTTCCACTCAGCCATCGATATGTAAATACAAGTTTCAAAGCTTGCACAAAATTCTCAAAAAGTTATCAAATTAAAAAAAATGTTCATCAAAATTTAGATTTTTTAATAACATTTCTTAGAAAGTTTTGCATAGTAAGGTGTAAGTTTCAAGACGCTTAAATTTACCCTTAATTCTTTTGAGTTTTCTTTTGTCCAAGGTGTTGAGCATTTTCTTCCATAAAACGCAGGAACGAAATTTATAATTATCTGGGAGAAAAGCGCAACACCCTCCTGAGACCTACGCCTTTATGGCCTAATTACGGTCCGGATATTGTAGCTGTCTAAAGAACTACTTATGCAGGCTCTACCTCATATGGCGACACCCACATGACGTCGCTGGCAACATACAAGGCAAATAACCGACCGGTTCTAAACTATGAAGCACGAGTTTGATCGCCGGCGACTAGTTCGATGCAGTGTACGAAGCTACAGACTTGTCAGAACGCCGCTTTCCGGACAGCGACAGGGTGCCTTCTGATTCGCCTGAGCACCACCTACACAGTGAGGTAAGCCGTTTATGGTGGGGTGCCACAGAAGTGAACATCCCAACAGACGTTTGCTAGAGGAGGAGCCTCCGCGTCAGGGGGCACATATTCGTATACAAGGAGGCGGTCCAGATTTACATAGACCAACCACTGGACCCGAGGACGTACCGACGAGCGATCAATGACGTTCATAGAGAGTCGGTCATCACCTATCACGACTCCTGGCCTATGAATGCCATGATCGGAGCCCAATCATTACCTCTAGCAGTGACGGAGTGCCAAGAGAGATCCGATTACCCTGGTTCCAGGGTTCGGATTTGCCCCATTTTAGCCCCTCGCTCGCTCGTTAGTTTGCTCTGAGCTAGCGCAACTCACGAGCAACAAGCGGGGCTGTTTGCAAACGAGCACTCGTTAAGTACGAGCGCACGCGCTGGGCAGCCAGCGAGCGAGTAAGCAAACGAGGGCAGCGCAAGAGAAGAGCGGCAAGCAAACGAGGGTCTCATAAGCTCTGTCCTCGCGAGGGCGTCGTTGCGAGCGAGGCACTCATTTGCAGCAGCAGACGAGCGAGGCAGATGAGGCGAGTAAACGAGCGAGGCAAATGAGGTAAGCAGATTAGACAGGCAAACGCGTTGTTTGGTTGTTTGGGATAAAAATTGCAGCAACTAAGAATTTCGAGTAAAGGATTGTATGCACGCATGCAGATATGTATATACATACATATGTATATACAAATATGTTTGTATATATTTATGTATATATTCTCATGCACAGAAGAATAGATTCGTGCTATTTTGACCAGTTTTATCTACTAGGTAGGCACATATGTACATACATATCTATGTAGGTATAATGTTTTTAATGTGCAATAATTTCTTATAAAATTTCAACTTATACGCTTAGGTCTCTTTTTATGCGGTTCTTTTTTATGCGGATTTGAATTTATGCCGTTTTTCAAACGCTTTTTTCGCTGTAGCGATTTTGCTTTTTTGAGAGCTTTTATTCAGCCCTATTCTGCATTTCGACTCGAATCGAAATTTTCTCCGTTTGGCAACTTTGGTATTCTGCGTTCCGTTTCCTTTCGATCAATCTTCGAAATTTACGATTATACCTATTCTACATTTCGATCGTAGTTCCGTTTTTCTAAGTTGCAAATTTGTTGACGGAGAACGTTTCAATTGTTATTTTCGTGGGTTTAAATAATAAAATTATATAAAAAATTTAAGTAAAATATACTATGCATGATTGTAAAAGTCATCATAAATGAATTTTCTCGATTTCTGTGTTTTCGCGAGCGGTAATACGGGCAATACGAAAAATTGGCTCAAATAATGGCAACCAAAAGGGATATTGCGCGACGTTTTCAAAGTGGAAGTCCAGGCGTTTTTGTTTACATTATCTATAAAAAAGACTGTGAAATGCACTGAATGCAATTTATTTTTTTAATATAAAATTAATAGAAGTATGCACATATATACATACATACATAAAATGTGAAGTTACATTAAAAATATGCTTTTATTATTGCACTCGTTTTTACTAACTTTTTAAAAAGAGGTGCGTATGTTGTCTCGAATGCGATTTGCTATGGAAAGATAAGCTTTGTTCTTCCCCTCCTCCTGACGGCTTTCAAAATGTGATTAATTTGCGTTCAAATCTTCCACTCTGTAGTAAATGCAAATGTTGTGGAGTGCTCAAACAACGTTTATAATTTCACTTTAAACGATGAGTAATAGAGTACAAGATGAATTCCTTATCACTCTTCACTCATCTAAAAAAGATCAAACATGTCCCTAAATCTCCGCCTTTCAACTTCCGCATCAGCAATCTGGGACTCGTTCTTCTCTTCAAGCAATAACGCCGCGGCTATGGATTTCATTATAACTATGTATCCACTTAAATTTTATTTTTAAATTACAGTGATGCTAGGTATATTTAGTTATTTTAAAATATTTACAAACTTTAACTTGATGTGCTGCTATAGTTTGGTGGCAAATATCTCTTTGTTTTGTTTCGATTTCACACATTCCTAGGCAAACAGCTAATTTCGAAAGATGTTTTCTGTCTTCCTCTTCTTCTTTCGTTTCGATCGTAACGCAGAATACCTAAGTTCGATTCCAGCGGAGCGGAATGCGGGAACGTAATCGAAATGCAGAATAGGGCTGATTACTTTTTTTCAATATGTAAGGGGCAATGCTTCTGATAAATAATTTGTCTTTGTATTCTTACATACAAGTAATTACTTAGTAATTTGACTAAGTAACTATGTTACATATGTATAAATGAGAATATAATATTTATAAAAATCATTATTTTGTCTTTCATTTCATAAATGAGTAGGACATCAGCATTTTCAAATGAATATTCCTGGTTTAGCCCCCATACATATGTATGTATGTAGGATAATACAAACCGCTATTTGATAATTTAGGCTGGTCCACATAGAACTTTCGCGTTGACTTTGTAGTTGGCGTTGGTTTGACAGAACGCAAGTTAAAAGAATGCGTTCTACAATGAAGCTTGGCAGAGACTACTTTGGCCAATAAATTAACATATTAACGAGAGATAAATTAATATTTCATATCAATAATTACATGAAAAATTATATTTCTTGCCTTCATTTGATTAACAGGAAAAAACATTTTATTTAATTTTATTTATTTGCAACAGCTGGCGACGCCAAAGTTGTATGCGAACCGGTCCCTATTCTTTGTTTACGCAAATTTTCCCATGTCTACATATCCATATATACATGCCTACATATGTATGTACATATGTCCTTGAACAACAGGCCACAAATACATTTTTTCACCAAGGACTATATTTCATTCAGGTATACAGCATAACTGCTACAAGTAGCAAACTATTTTGGGGGTGTTAACAAGTGCTTACTTGTTTTTTGTTTCTGCGGCACAAACGATTATAATATCTTCGTTACTTACTTTTCTCTGTGAAGACAAAATACATGCATATGTACATACATACATAAATGCATATATACATAAATACGTACATACAAACTAGGGCATTCAATCCCGAAGCATTTTAACAATCCCGGGATTTCGGGATGTAAAAATTCTAATCCCGGGATCCCGAGATATTTCGGGATTTCGGCTTCATAATAACTTTTTGCATTTTACAGTAGGTTCGCCTTTTTCAAACCACACAGATTCATTGTCAACACATTAGGGCTGCCAGATATCTCTGTTGCCAAACCGGGACACTTTAGGGAGGGCCTCTCGCTCCCTTCCCTTTCATTTCGACGTGCGAAAGGATGTAGTGAAATTTTATTTTGACAGACAAAAACAAAAACATAAAAACATGAGATCATGAGATCATTACAACGTACGCCAACAAAACAAAACAACTTATTACAACTAAAGCACAGAGAATTTTTGACAATGCATGAACCTTTTTTTATTCTTTGTACCAATACAGTTTATACTAAATATGTATATGAAAAAACATAAAAATAAAATTGTTAAACTTTGTGCTAAACTCGGGAAAATTCAACAAATTTGCAATATTCTAATCAGACTTTTTATAAAAAGTTTAAAATAAAGTTTTGCAGCCTATTAAATTTTAGTTGATTTTTGGTATTGTTTTTACTGAGAGTTTCTTCCATACAAACTATGTTCGATAATTCTTTTTATATGGAAGACACTGTCAGCAAAAAATATAAATGCTAAAAATCAACGAAATTTGCTGGCAACTTCGGACTTGCACTTTATTAATTGGCTCAAAAGCTACATTTTCAAAATTTTTCTAAAAGATCTGATTAGAAATTGTGATCTGATGAAAGAGCCTCTGAGCCAATAATTTTGTACGGCACTGTACTTATAAGTACTGTAGGTTTCATGAAAGAAAAAAATTTAAGTACAAGATAACATTAAAATATCAGTCATATTTTTCGTTGCTGTGAACTTGTTTCAAAACTTTTGTCTTTTCCTTAATATAATTGTATAACTCTGTACACGTGATTTTGAACGTATTTAGGTTCATATACTAATCATCAACTATTGCTTGTGCAACTATCTCGAAATGTAACTATTTCACAAATTAAACTGGTGCACTGAGAGAAAGAAGTTTAGAATTAAAAAAGCGTGCTAAATTCAAAAAATACGCATATGAAAGAGCACCAACCCAACTCGTAATACATTTAAGTATACAAATTTTAGTATTAAG